GCTCTGTCTTTACATTTATTTTGAAAGATGAAGCGACGATTATGGTAAGGGGCGTTACATTTCCGACGAGTGTTTGCGGTGTTCGGCCAATCACAATGCATTGGGTCAGCTGGCCAATCAGAGCAGTCTGCTCTGATTGGCCAATCACAATGCACTGGGTCAGTTGGCCAATCAGAGCAGACTGCGCTTGTCAAAGGAGGGGGCTTTGTAGAAAACGAAGCGTTTGAGAGAGGCGGGGCATATAGGACCTACAATAATGTGCAGTATTTGAAAAATAATGTGTTTTTTGAACATTAAAGCATGTCAACATATTCTGTTACACCAAATACACAAAATAATGATCTTTAAAAGAGCATCATATGACCCCTTTAAGGCCGTTAACATTCGGTGCATGATCCCTAATGCCTATTAAACAGATTTGACGTCAACGCTCCTTTAAAAGACTTGAGTTCACCTGCTGGGCTGGAGCTGTTCGTCACAGGAAGAGGAACACGAGCGTCTTCCTTCACATCAGAATCAGTTGGCGAGTGTTTCCGTCTCAGAGCGGCCGGAGTCACCGGCGTCGCAGTGATTTCGTCTGTGGTCTGGCTCAGATCCGCAGAGGCACGCGTGACCCTCAAGGGCTGAAGGATTACAACACAAAACAACTTATGAAGCGGAGAGTTCCGGTGCTTGATTCTGATTGGCTGAGCCGTGTTCGAAGCTGTTATAAATGACTCTACAAAGTAACATACACCTTTGTTTACGTTTGTGTGTTGCTTGGCAACCACTTTGTTGGAACCAGAGCCGTTGAGAAACAGAGTTGCGACATGCTTTGATCTCGCGGTCACGCGGTTCATGGAGCTCAAAATAGGATAGACAGCAGTTTCACTATATTTGCAGCAATTTCTAGTGATTATTAACACATCATATGTGCATTGATTGTGTATTGATAACTACGCTGACTACGTTTTACAATCGCATTTTATTCTGGGGAGTGATGAAGAGACTTAGCATTAATATTTTTTCTAATATGCTTATTATTGATATTACAATTAGTGTAGTATTTAGGGTTAAAATAGAGAAAATGTTTTTAAATTCCAGTGCAAAGAGGCAAATTAGAGACGTTTGGTGACCAGAAAAATAATATTCCTATGTAAGTAATGCCATGGTTTAACCACTAGATGCCCGTATGGCTGTTTAATAAATATATCCTACATATATTTAGCTCTACTCTAGTTGCTGTAAAGAGTTTTACCGGTCATAATAGCTTATTTATTTTATGTTTTGCATTTTATATTTAGACATTATCAAACACTCAATGTTTATAAGTTATGCTTTTTTTTATGTTGAATTTAAAAAGATTAATTACTCACATCCCAGTATTATTTTATGACATTTATGTAAGAAGACAATATAAGTGAATGTTAAAAAAATGCCGGCAAATACGGAATTTAACCTTTAATTTAAATTTTAAATAACGTTTAAAAAAACACAAGGCAACCAACTGCATTTAGTGAAACTCTTTCTTGTATTGCTTTAATGGGCAGTCTTTACTAAAACCCATTCAACTTCCTACAATGAGAGAAAGATTGCAGAAAGACTAAAAACTTAAAAATATGACAACTAGCATCTGGGTTATGATCGCTATTAGGGTGCTTCTCACGTTATCTAACTGCAAATATAGCATAACTGCCTATTATCTAAAACTAAACATTAACTATAACGCGTTTCATAAAATACAACTACTGGCCAGATTTCCGAGAGGTAAACTAATGCGTTAAAATGTCAAAAACTGCTGTAATTATCTCAGTTCCTATAGAAGCCTAAGGGAGTGTCGCAACTCTGTTTCTGAGGAACTATATTGTTTGGTGGAAGAATACTGTTTTTATTAATATCATTACAGTTTATTTGCTCTGTTTTATTCTGTGAAACCTTACTACGTATATGGAATAACCGTGTTATAAAAGCAATAATCCCCGTGAAGCCGTGGTTTACAGTGAATTTATAACAGCTGTTAGGTACGACGTGAAGCTGTTATAAATTCACTGTAAACCACGGCTTCACGGGGATTATTGCTTTAATCTACAACTCATGTTCCAATGTAAACCAGGTCAAGAGTTGTTAATCGCACATCACACGAACCTGCTGGTGATTATGAGCGTCTATCGGTTTCTTGGTTGAAATGATCTTTCTGTTCAGCGCGTGTTTCCTGCGAGCAGAGCGCGTCTTTGCTGCTGCCGCTCGTCTGGCTAAAATGATCTTCCTGGACGGTAAAATCCTCCTTCCTGCTGCGTGCGTCTTCACCGACGTCACACTCCTCGCAGACGTGAGTTCATCCATCCGTCTGTCCTCAGGTGTGACGGTCTTTGTCACCGAATCTCTGGAGCGCGTCGACCTGGTTACGGTTGTTTTAGCGTCTGCCGGCGCGACGGATTCAGACTTTGTTTTGCCGGGTTTCACAAGAGTTTCCCTCTTCGGCGCTGAATCCGTACGGGATCCCGTCTGGTTTTCTGCTTTCTTCTTCTTCCTGTCTCTCAGTTTCAGTCGACTCTCTGACAGTCGTTTCACTAGCGCTGCTTTCTGTCACAAACACAAAACTCATGTTCCAGTGGGTTTATAACAGCGGACAACACAAGCTGTAACACTTAGGGGTGTAACGGTACACGTATTTGTACTCGGAATTAATGAAGCGGAAAACTGCGCGTTTATAAGAACCAAATTCATCATTTTTAACTTCAAATCATCACTTCACTGGAGGAAGCGTTATTATGGATTATGGACTCTATGGTATTTTAGTTAAAATCGTATTTAATGCTGGATTAGTTTCAGCTTTTGTCTTCTCCAGATGTTAACTGATGGACTGGAGTGCTGTGGATTACTTGTGGATTATTGTGATGTTTTTATCAGCTGTTTGGACTCTCATTCTGACAGCACCCATTCACTGCAGAGCATCCATTGCTGAGACACTGATGCAGTGCTACATTTCTCCAAATCTGATGAAGAGGCAAACTCACCTACACACTGATTTTCATTTTTGGGTGAACTATTCCTTTAAAGACAAAGCCACAGATGTAAAAAGAACTAAGTTTTTTTCCTTTGCTGTAATGAAAACATACCGAACTGCGACTTTTGTGTACCGTTACACCTCTAATAACGTTAATTATAAACGCTGACCTTTTGACCTCTGAGGCCCACACCCGGGTCGTTCTCGATCTCCCACATGCCCTCCTCGAACCCGCCTCTTTTGATTTGTCGGCCGTACTTCTCTTTGTTTGGCCAGTAGGGGACGATGTCTTTGGGGAAGAGAAACGTTCTGGAAGAGCAGAGACTGTGTTCAAAACTCAATACTAGTTACTACTAAACACTGCGCTGCCTAATAGTAAAAGACATAAATTTACATTTATGCATCTGGTAAATGCATTATTGAAAACGACTTGCATTACGTTCAAGGTACTGTATGCGGGTCAAAGACGTTAAGATGTCCGCATCAAAAGAAATGTACAAAAGTGATTATATGTCTATAGAAAGCACATTAAATGCAAGTAAAGTGTCATTAAGGTTTCTTTCAAATACGTTTTTGGAGAATAAAATGTTAAAATTTGGTTGAAATAATGTTACATTGTCATTCAGAGTAACACTTATATTTATGTAAAAATTCAAACAACATGCTAATTCTGACGTGTACAAATTAAAATATATAAAATAATAAGTGAGCATATTACATTTCATTGTGTTTTAAATGAGTAAAAATTCTTACGGACAAACGGGCAAAACCTAGGATAGTGGCATGTTTAAAAAATGTAAAATTACAGCTAATTAGTATTTGGGGTGAAAGTAATTAGTCTTTTAATATGTCATAAATTGATTTTTGTTGTAAATATGCCTGACAAGATTGTTACACTGAATGACATTTTAGTGGGTGTCTTCTGTAAATCAGGGAAAAATGTATGGTCAAAGATGTTAAGATGTCCGCATCAAAAGAAATTGACAAAAGTGATTATATGTCTATAGAAAGCACATTAAATGCAAGTAAAGTGTCAACTTTTAAGGTTTCAAATACGTTTTTGGAGAATAAAATGTTAAAATTTGGTTGAAATAATGTTACATTGTCATTCAGAGTAACACTTATATTTATGTAAAAATTCAAACAACATGCTAATTCTGACGTGTACAAATTAAAATATATAAAATAATAAGTGAGCATATTACATTTCATTGTGTTTTAAATGAGTAAAAATTCTTACGGACAAACGGGCAAAACCTAGGATAGTGGCATGTTTAAAAAATGTAAAATTACAGCTAATTAGTATTTGGGGTGAAAGTAATTAGTCTTTTAATATGTCATAAATTGATTTTTGTTGTAAATATGCCTGACAAGATTGTTACACTGAATGACATTTTAGTGGCTCTCTTCTGTAAATCAGGGAAAAATGTATGATGTTTATTTTTTGCTCAGAAAAACAAAAATACAATTACATGAAACAGAAAACTTTTTAATTAAAAAAATTTTTATTTTTATTTATATACATATATATATATTTATATACAATTTAAAGCAGTATTATGTTTATGATTAAACCTTTTTTCGTCTTTGACCCATATATTTCATCAGTTCATGCTCTACTTTAATAAAACACATGACATCAATTAAGGTACTAAAGAGTTTGTTTGTTTCTGTTACATGGAAACACATGCGTACAGTTACAACGTAATAAAAGCAATTGTTCATAAAGACATTTATACTGTTAGAAAAAAAAACTTAAAAATGCTGTTCTTTTTAAATTTTCTCACTCACTAAACGTGTGCACACAAATTTGTGCATAAAACCTGTAAATGTTTTAATCGTGATTATTCCAATAACTTTCATGGTAATATTAATTATAAATTGTATGAACAAATGAAACCACACGTATGCAAAAATCACATACTCTGTGTGGCCTCATAAGCATTTTAAGATTAACTTTTATGTTTATCATCCTGAATATATTTCATCATATACAGTAAAAGAGTGAGAAAAGCTGTTACAGTCAGGGTTATTATAGTTAACTAAACTAAAATCGTTAAGAAAACATTTTAGTCACTTGAAATAAAATAAACATTAACTGAAACAAAAATAACTTATTTTTTTCTGCTAGTTGCCCCGGCAATATTTCTCATTTTTATGTAGTTTGACTTAATGCATTAAAAACTAACTTTGTGCATTAATAACTAAAACTTAAATAAAAATTAATAAAAAAGTATACAGATTAATAAATGTGACAAAAACACACAAAAAATGACTAAAACTTAAACTACAGTTAAAATGGAAAATATAAAAACAAAAACTTTATTCAAAATAGTTATAAAAGCTATAATAGTATCTCAGTGATACTAAAATAACACTGGAGCTGCAAATTATTAATGTTTGCATAAATGCGATATACACTGCTGTTCAAACGTTTGGGATCAGTAAGAAGTCTCTTCTGCTCATCAAGGCTGCATTTATTTGATCAGAAATACAGAAAAAAACTGTAATATTGTGAAAAACTATTGCAATTTAAAATAATGGTTTTCTAATGTAATCTCTGTTAAACTGTAATTTATTTCTGTGATCAAAGCTGAATTTTCAGCATCATTACTGCAGCATTTATTCAAAATATAAATATTTTCTGACAATATAAGTCTTTATTATCAGTTTTTATCCTTGCTGAATAAAAGCATTAATTTCTTTAAAAAAAAAAAACTGACCCAAAACTTTTGAACGATAGTGTATATTGTTACAAAAGATTTAGATTTCGAATAAACGCTGTTCTTTTTAACTTTATTCATCAAAGAATCCTGAAAAAAGTATCACAGCTTCCAAAAAAAATATTAAGCAGCAAAACAGTTTCCAACATTGATAATAAATCAGCATATTAGAATGATTTCTGAAGGATCACGTGACACTGAATGGTGTAATGATGCTGAAAATTCAGCTGTGCATCACAGAAATAAATTACATTTTAACAGATATTCACATAGAAAACAGCTGTTTTACATTGTAATATTTCACAATTTTACTGTTTTTTTTCTGTATTTTTGATAGTGTGTGTGTCAGTGTGTGTGTGTGTGTGAGTGTCTGTCTGTCTGTCTGTGTGTGTGTGTGTGTGTGTGTGTGTGTGTGTGAGTGAGTGTCTGTCTGTC